ACTTCCGCACCAATGTTGCAGTATAAGAGGGTTTCCTCGGTATAATTGATTCCGATATGAAAATAATGCTGCGAAACAGAAATTATGTGCTGCATACGCCAATTTGCTTACAATCAGAAAACAATCCAGCAAGCGCTATGCCGTCACGTGAAATAATTCTGGTCATTTGGATGATTTATGATACTTCTTTAGATGTATAATTATTATGATATGTCGTTAGTTGACGTTAGACTGCTGATTCTGTAGCATAGCTAACTACCATATAATATTGCTTGGATCGTTGACGAAGACTGTAAAATATATGTTTGTTTGTGTTGTTACAACGAATACAATTTAATTGCTTTGCTGAAATGGCAACAAGAAACCTTGATGTCTTTCATATTTGCATTTCTGTACATTTTTCGATTAACCGCTCGTTGATCTCATTTGTATGTTTGGATTGCAAACATTCGAATAATCTCGTGCGACAAAGAGCAGTTCATTTGAGGATCGAGCCAATGCGATATCATAATTTATCGATATTCCTCACAATTTAGTTATTGTGCTGGAACTTACAGTAGACTGACATGCATGGAAAGGAAAATAGATGAGTTGCATAGTTGTTGCATGTATTTTCCGATAATATTCGGTGTGCACCAAACTTACAGGCAGAAAGAACAGCATGCAAAGAAGCATTTTATTAATAACATTTTTGGTGCGTAACAATAAGTGGTCAACTAGCAAAACAATATGATTGTCACGGCAATTGTATCGAATTCAGTGAATGATTGTGATGTTGCGACACTAGATCATAACTGAGGGTGGAAGATCGCTATTCGTCGTGGAAGATCGCTGCTCCAGAAAGTTGCTTTCACACATTTCTGAAACACAGATTGAATGTTCTGTCGATTTGTTTGAATCGATGAAACATACGTGAGCTGATAAGCGTGTGGTGAGATCATGACACTAGCCAGCGAGACACGTTTGCTTGAATCGTTTGGCACCGAAAACTTGACGCGTTGTGCACAATCCTCACTCAAATGCGAAACTTCCTAGGATGATTCAGGGTGGTAAGAAAACTCCACATGAGAACGCCGACCCATATTATAGTCTGCTGAGGAAACCACTGAAAGCCTGCGTGCTTCTTAAGCATTCATATGCTTAAGGTGTCATGTTGTGAAGTTGATCAAGCGCTCATACTTTCACATCACGCATCTTTCGATAAGTTTGAATTTGAAAGAAAAGTCTTGCCATGAGCAAACCAAAGATGGAAATTAACATCGTTGGAGTTGATAAATAATGAGAGAACCGTTCAATTTTTACACGATTTAAAAAGTGTTGCCGAGAATCGCTTAATTTTTTAACGATTTTAGAAGCGATACGAAGAAATCGGTTTTTTTGAAAAGCTGTACAATGATTTAGAAATAAAAGCTGTGATTTAGAAATAAGAACTTCAAGGTATTCAACATTAAAAGATACCATTGGTTTTTAGTTTTTAAATTTCGTACGTCGTCACAAACACATGTGGGTGAATCTGAACCCTAATCGCTTGCACTGGACTCAGTCTCAGTTTCAGGTCTGTTTTCGGGCTAAGGCCAAGTCTTCCCGGCAAATTTCGCTTCATTATATTCATTATAAGCCCAATCCTAAGTGTAAGCCTGAGACTAGGCTTGTGCCTTATCTTAAGTCTCATTCCACCGAGTCTTGGCCCACCGAGTAGGCCAAGAATGTATGCATAAGATATGGTCCTTAAGATTGCGCATCGATATGCACTTTTTATCCAAATATCACAGCATTAACATATTATCGTTCAATTCAAACGTTATAAGAGGCTTGATGTTTAACACTTTTTTCGACTCTAAGAAGTCCGATTTACGGCTGCTTTGGAAATATATTTATCGCTATGCACCACTGGATTAAGCCCTAATAGTCTTACTTGAGTTCAAGAAAACAATACGACTTCCGCTGTACTACGTGATGAGTGCTTGCCTAGAAATCGCTGAAAAAGCAACATTTTTCGTTGTGATAAATGGCAGTCTGATACCCAACTGTTTCAGATGAGGCCACTGAGTTGAGAACAGTTGCTTAAATGTTGCTTAAAATCGTTCATGGTTTGTTCGATTAGGAATCTGCTTAGAGCACAACACCTACTGTGGGTGCGGACGCATGGACGTCAGATGGAGAACGTTCGCGATAGTCCTCTGAGGGCGGCACGTTCAGCTGGGATGCACTTGTGCGATCGGACTTCATTCCATTCCAAACATTCTGAATTTTGAGAACACTATGAGTGCGCCTCTTACAAACCAAACGACGATCCGCATTCACCTGAGTGGGATGTTGGTGGGTCAATAGAGGATCATGTCTGAAAAGTGATCGATTATTATCGATTTGTGATGAGCATTTTCAGCTTTGAGGATAACAACTGCTCGATGATGATTCACACACTTTGTTTGACAATGCTTCTTTAATTTCTGTCGGATTTTCGAATTAGTTTCGAGCAGCAAAAACGTTTGAATGTTCTCAAAGTAGGACGGTCGCACAGTTTCGTACATTATTTGAGTTGGGGCGATTCAATTCTATATGGCTAAGATGAAAATGAGATTTATGCTATTGAATGCGTGCACAATGGTGAGTATCTAACTGCTTAAACGAAATGAGGTATTCACAAGTGATGCCTCATTTGATTATCAACTTGAATTTAAGAAATAAGCACTCGCAAGAACTAACACCGAAGTGCGACTAGGTCTGTAGCAACTGCCCTGCCCATGCAAAGCACGTGTGCGCTGTTTGCCGCGAGCCAAACGAACACCACTATGCGAGGGTCGTCGTAGAAAAAGCGAACGAAAAGCAGTTCGAAAGTTCTCAGCTTGAACAGCGTAGAGCAATGGATGAAGTGCACAATTGATGTAGGGGAATAAATGAATGATATTAACGATGATACGATCGAATTGCGTTTGAATGCGTAATCGGAATATGGAGCTGAGCAAATTGAATAACCAGAACGGTGACCTGAAAGTGATTTCATTCATTTCGTTCACTAGTCTGTCATACCAGCCGACAACATTTCATTAGAGAGATATCCTTGCTAACTTCATTTGAGTGTACTTTCCAAATGTCACTCTTTCTATGTGGAACATATGGTACCAAATCATAACTATACATATTTCCGGAAAACTGAAAACTGAAAGCTAAAATGAAAATGTGAATTTTGCATATTCGCCCCTCGAAAATTATAATGTCTGAATTGAATGCTTTATGCTTGACTATTGCTAAAACTCGGTCATATTTCATAACTTTCTCTTTCACAACTTTCTCTGCTTCTAACAACGTGAGAGATCATCAAGGTTCACTTGCTCACTGATACTAATTTTGCGGAAGTTTCAAGCAGTATAAAGGATGAATAAAAACAAGGATAAGCTTGTTGACTGCGAGCAAGCCATATATCGATTGTTTCTTCTAAAAATGAGTTCAGCTAGCGGAATGAGTCGGACAAATGTTAATTAACTTAATGAAAGCATCAAGAGAGGAAACCAACCAGCAAACAACATGGAAGACAACAACCCAAAGAACAAGTCTTGTGACTCGATGATACGGTGCACGAGAACTTGCACTACGCTGTAGACGCTTGTTCCCTTTCAGTGCCTCCCTGAGCTTGCTGAGAATATGATAATAGAAGAAAACTATAAGCGCTAGTGGTACGGCGTAAATTAATATCGATGAGAAGGTTATGTACCTGAAAGCGGTAATGAATTGCTGAAAGTGGAATCAACGAACTCATTTGTTCTAATTTTATTGAATTATCATAAAGCAACTTCAGAGAATAACTTATAAATGCACACCGAGAGAGTTGTTTCTTTTCCAGTAAAGAATTTGCTATGAGGACATAATATGTATATGAAAACAGTAAGTCAAAATTGATCAGGACCCCCTCAACAACGTCTGCCAGTCTAAAATCGTCATTGCTCATTCGGAGCCTGAGCAGCCGTTAGACAAAGCCTGAGTTGGCATCTGAGTAGGATTCGACTAACTCATAATCGTTCCACAGTCAAAGACCGAACCCGAGTCTAAGAATGCCTCAGATTCTGGGATTAGTGCCTATGTATCATTGTGAACTGACGACAAGCAATCATTTATGCCGGGATAACCTCACAATGATCGCTTGTCACATCGCGAACTAGAGTGATGCATGTAAAATGAGGAACAAACCATCTGGCAATGTCAGAAGATGGCCATTTAGCAATACATAAACGATGTACGTAATGGTTGGCAACCCGTAATCTGAGCACGGTCACTTCTGCGAATATATACAACGGTGCAGCAGCACCAAGTGCTAAGCACCACGCAAATGCACTGACCAGCAGTGCGGTTGGATAGTTGCGGTATCGAGCGCATAGACTCAGACGACACATCGCACAGTAACGATCAGATGCCAACAGCACCACGAACATTACACTTGCGTATTTGCCTGGAAAGCACTGCTCTGAGCATTCATATGTCATCTTTTGACTGCAGTTGAATTGTGCATTGCGTGCTAAAATGATTGAGTGCTCATTACTCTGCCGAAAATAATGACACCAAACACTCATAAAAGTTTGATGAGCAAAGTGTGTTACAGTTATGTGAAGCAATGCAACATTGAAATAACGAACCGGTGGATTCGGTTCCGTGATACAGAGTGCACATCAGCGAGCCGAATGCCCATGATTTGTCGTTGAGTTGAGTTGCGGCCACAAGTGTCAGATTGGCGAGGTAAATGAAATCAGCGAAACACAAACCGATCATATAAACATTCGTAATTGAGCGCATGTACGGTCGCATAATGATGATCAGAATAACCATTATATTGACAGTACCCAACGAAACCAGCAGAAGATGAGTGACCGTTAGCGCGAGACGCATGTGATAAACACCTTGTGCTGGTGTGGCTAATGTTGTTGTGGCATTCATCACTGGTGCTTTTTCGTTTCATTAGATCGCTGGTTGTGCAGGTTAGGAATACGTCATTTGCTGTGTTCTGATGTATACCTTGAAACGATGAAATCATTTGCTTTGGTTATGATAGATCATTTCAGTTTGGAGAGATGTCNCCACAGCGCCTTCGATCATCGCCAACAGATGAAAAAATGAATGCAAATTGCACTGAAGCGCTGCAAACTTATCCTCATGTTTCAGCGAACAAATCAAAGTACAACGCTGCAGAAGCGCTGCAAAATCAAAGAAATCAAAGCAGATCATGTGCAAACTCTTATGAAAACATAGGTTCACGTGATTAGCGTCACACTGATTCACCGAATTGCAATGTTTCCTCACACTTTCCTCACGTATGTGGAAACAACATTCCATATAGTATGGAAAAGGCAAAATTCCACCGATTTGAACTGGTGTTCAGCCAGTGGTAGATAATTTGTGGCATGCTAAAATCTCGCTGAAAACACGAACTGATCCATCTCAAGAGCAAACGGTGAATAAAAAGATTCCAAGTTTTCAGATGCTGTCATTTAACAGCAGAGATAATAGTGAGGTTAAATCCACATTGGGCTAGTATGATTTTGAATTGTTGTTGCCGAAACATCATATTTACTGGTTGATGGGTAGGATAAAGAGGAACATTGTGTTAACGCTAACATTGGGTTAACTTTGAATTGATTCAAGAGAAGGTTGCTCTGAAATAGAAGGCTCTTTCGTGCGGCCCTTCAAAGTTTTGCCACATTTACGCCCATCGATATTCAGACGAACTAAAGGAAGGAGAGCACGCCTACAGGTAGGAAAAGCATTAATTTTCTTGAATAGTGCTTTTTTTAGCATTGACTTCAGCTGAATGCGGTCATCTGCACTCACCAAGAACGTGTTTCAACGAGATCGGAGCAACTGCCGTCTGATGAGAGATGAAAAGTTACACAATA